CTTATGGGATCTCTTAGATCTTGTGATCTTATAATTAAGAAATGGGAGGTTATAGAAAAGCTTAGCATTATGTGTGCAGTGGAAGACCTGCTGAAGCACCTGACCTGCTTTTATTGCAAGACTGTACAGAGGTGTCATGTAAGTACTGGAGAGCTTAACATGGTAAAGAGCTGCTAGAATGTTCATGAGTGATCTGACAGATGGTCATTTTTATGACTGGCTTCATGTACTGGAGAGTCAAAATCTGCAACAGTAAGCCCATGTTGTTAACCCATTAAAGACTGGACTGAATGCTGAAGTAAACAGGGTTGAGGAAAAAAGTAATTAGATTTCTCTGGTAGAAAACATCATAGAATAACAATAGCAGTTCTTACCTGCAAACCATTTGTTTGTCAAAAGCCACAAGTTTATTTTTTTCAGAGAATAAGGTAAAGGAAATCTGGCATTTGTCATTTAGTTACCAAAAAAAAACAACAAAAACCCACACCAAAAAAACAACACAAAACCAAACCAAAACCTGAGAGTGCAGGTTAAATGTTTGACCAGCCCTATGTCTGACCTTTCTTTTGCTTCTATAAAAAAACCCTGATACCAATCTCATAGTTACTTCACAAGAATGCTAAGGATTAATTAAATGTTTGCAAAGCCCTGTGTAAACACCAAGCATTGTTAAGAGCAGAGTTTCACCTTAGCAAGACCTTTTGCCAGCACTGAGGAGCACAGAGTGAGAAGAGTTCTTATTTTCCCAGCTAGCATTTGGAGGGAATAAAGTGTTTGGTGACTGCATTTTTGCTTCTCAGGCAACTATGAAAGAAGTACAGCATGCTTTTGGTTATCTCAGAGTACATACTGTTTTACTTCCTTGGCTTACGTTTGTCACCTCTTTCCCCTAAGGAAGGTACAGTACCGAAGGGAGTCATCACAGACTCCTGCCTAAACAAACAGCCATAGAAGCCAGGCAGATTTCAGGTAGCAAGCGAACATCAGTGTGGCATAAGAGAACATCAGAGTGGCATAAGCATTGTAGAAGGATGGAAGGCCGTGGCCAATACCAGAAAAGATACTACAGCCATAGAGTTGGAGTTTGTACCCTGAGCATAGGAATGCCAGTACTCATCCTGAGGTTCTCAAGTGGGTCTGCTCCCAAGCCAGGGCTCAAATAGCATGTGCAGTTTTTGCTAACTGCTTTCCAGCTCCAACTGCAAAGGCCTCAAAGCTGTGATAGTTTATGCTGCTCCTTACCAACTTAATTTTTACAGAAGGATGCTAGAACAATTTTGCTTCTGATTTTCATAGCCTAGCAAGTCATGTATATTTGTAAGGCAGCTGATAGGCTGCAGTTCTGGGGTCTGGGTAAGGGGTTCTCGTGGGAAGGAGTTGTTTGGGGTTTTTTTTAAAACCCTTTAACAGGTAAACCTCAGCAACATGTACCTCCAGCCAGAGATCAGTCCTTTACTCTGTTAAAAGGTGGCCACTTCTTTGACTCATTTATACAAACACACTGGACCTCTCGTAGCACAAACCAAATCAGTTACAGCTTGCACTTTCAGAGTGTGGTATTTATTAAGACATAGGCAGGCAAACATAGTAGTTGTGCCCAGATTACCCCTTACATTTACAAAACTATTTAGCAACTTTATTTTCCAGCTTTCTTTTATATTGCAAATTCCTTCAGGTTTTAACAGAAAAGGAAACGGCTTCACTTAAAAAGGAGCTGTACAGCTCTAAAAGGGACAGAGGAAATGCCTGGTTTTTAGCAGTGCCTTTGACAGAAGAAAACTAACATTCCGTTCATTACCACAGTATGTGTCAAAAGTAACAGTTGAGTGGTCTAAAGATGCATGGTTTTGGTGTAATTTGCTGACAAAGAATATGCCATAGAACTAGTTATTTGCATAAAAGGTGATTTTGTTTCCACAATGTTCCTTATGTGTAATGCAGTAAGACAGACGTTTTAATTAGGGAAATTCAAGTTAGATATATGTATGGTGGAAAGCTTTTCTCAGTGCAGGTAATCAAACAGAGAACCAGTGCCCAGAGAGGTTGTGCCATCCTTCAAGGTACTGATAACTCAACAGCGCCCTGAGTGACTGTGGGCAACTTTGGAGTCGGTCTTGCTTTGAGCACGGTACTGGCTGAAATGACCCCCAGCAGGCCTTTCCCACCTAAATGATTCTCCAGTGCTAAGACTTTCAACAGTGAAAATCTTAACTATAGAAAAGACCTTTGCCAGAAGATTTTAAAGTGGCATCAACACAGGAGCTACCCCTTTGTATAGCTAAAGCATAGCCAAACCCTTAAGCCTTACTTAGCTGCAGGATTAGCTGACTGCTCTGGAGAGAATGCCCCATCCCTGGCAGCATTCAAGGCCAGGTTGAATGGGGCTTTGAGCAACCTGGTAGAGTGTAATGTGTCCCTGCCCATGGTAGAGGGGCTGGAACTATATAATCTTTAAGGTCCCTTTAAACTCAAACCATTCTATGTATTAGGAGCAATTCTGGTGGCTTTTCTCTTTTCCCACATGCAAGTTTTTGACAGCACTGCCTGCGGCTGTACTCTGACCGCTGCCTTCCTTGTCTTGTTTAGCACACTGCTGCTGGTGATGAAGGTGGAGGCCAGTCGCTGGTTTCTCCTGGGAGCTGCCTAGAAGATTTCAGAGCGACTCCTTTCATCGAATGCAATGGAGCACGTGGAACCTGTCACTACTTTGCCAATAAATACAGCTTCTGGCTCACTACGATTGACCAGCCCTTCCAAAGCAAGCCCTCAGCAGATACACTAAAGGCAGGACTGATCCGAAGCCATATCAGCAGATGTCAAGTCTGTATGAAAAATTTATAGAAGTCTTTCACAGTATAAGGAACCTGCTTAACATGTCATTCTTATACAGTGGAACCTTCTGTGATAGTTAGACATTTGAATAAATCATGTTGGTGCTTTTTTAACTTATTACCTCAAAAGCTGAATGGAAAGTTAATTTTTAAAGATGTCTATAAAAGCAAATTAAGTGTAACACAAATCACGTCTAACACACAGATCTAATGCTGTATTCACCTACCATATAGTGTATATATATACTTTTTGCTATTCTAACATTGCATCATTTGCCAAATGCTACAAATACTCGCAGCTTTGAAACACAAAAAAACCTTCAGTAATAAATGGTTACCTTGGTCAGATACCAATTGCATTTACTTTAAGAGATATATGTATCTTTTACATTCACTGTATTTGTCGCAACAGTAAACACTAGCAGCTCCAGTTCCATAAATTAACACAGCGTGCTCACAGAGAGAAATTCTTGCAAAATACTGAAACTATTTTGGAAAGTGCTCATGTCCAGCATTGAAACCTAACCTTGATTTTAGTATTTTATGCTTGGGTATTTCAAACACACCCAAAACAATTATCTTTTTATTGTGTTTGGTTTTTTTTCAAGCCTAACAATGCTTTGGCACTTAACCCCTGGCAAGAGCAGAGAAGCCCACAGGCCTCCCAAAAACAGTGACCACAAAATACAGCTCTTCCTATTTCAGTTAGGAAACTAAATGATGAAGATCAGCATTTTATTTTACAAGCTTGATAATTTTTTTCTAGACATACCTCAGGATCCTTACAAGGGTCTCTTGCTCCTTGCTGTGTTGTGGACATCCATCCATGTCACACTACCCACATAGCAGGTGACACTGGTTGGCTTTTCAGTTGCAGCTTTTCTCCTCTGAAACCAAGCCACTCATCACAAACTTATTTTAACCATTACTGCCGGAACAGCTATTGCACACAGTGTGGGCTTTACAGGACAGCAAGTTGCTCGATGCCACATAACTTTTAATTTAAGCACAAAACTTCCCGTACTGCCACTTGTCTGTCAAAAGGCATGCTGTCCTGGCAGCTAAGGACACACAGCAGTGGGATAACCACCACCAGTTTACACACAGCCGGGGGGAGGAAGCAAAGCATTAATTTGGAGCCATCTTTCCCCATACAGAACCAAGTTATTGCATGCCAGGCTTGATAAATGGCCAGAATGGCTAACTCTTTCCTTCTGCAGAAACAGTTTAGCTCAAAGTTACCTGTCACCACTGCAAGAGACCGGGAAGTGGGGGAACGGATCAGTTGCAGATTTCCTACTGGTATAGTCTGATTATATACCTGAATACTTAAACCTGAAATTGAAGAGATTTTTACAGCAATGGCAATTGATTTTTCAACAGTTCATCTCACTCCTGCTTCAGGTGCTTTTGGCTTTTGTACTTACATTCCATCCTCACTGTATCATAAATAAAACCTGTTTTTTTTCTAAACTTTTATTTGTTGATGATTTTCATTTTGTAAACGGTGTTTTTCTGCACAATGCATATGGAGAGCTCTGTTGAATTACTTTGTTTGCACCTAAGGAATTAGAAGCACACTGCCAGAAAGCTCCTTCCACTGAAATTCAAACTCTTCAACTGGGAACACGCTTGTTTATTTCATGACACTTTAAAAGATCCAAGAGGGAAGCTGTGTTTCTAAAATTGCTTGTTTAAGCTGAACTACTGCAATAGTATTCCATCTTGTTGTTAGAACAATTTAAGCCAATAAATTGCAATGTTGCAGATTAAAGCAATGTATTATTCATGCTATACAATGTTCAGAAAACCAACATTAACAAAACTTCCCAAGTGTTACCTCTGAAAAAAAAACAAAAACAAAAAGATGAAATATAAATGAAGTTAAAATTCTTAGCTAGCATGCTGTCTAACCTTGATCAGTTGTACATATGATGAGATACAGCCATAAACAGAGAAATTACCTAAGCTTGAAATGAGCTCTTTGGCTATGCTGTAGCTCTGAAAGGCAGCCCCCAAACAAAGTAATCACACTACTATTTGTTCAGATAAATAAAATACTTAGAACAGAAAACAATGCAGTCAACTTGAGCCAAATTTATTCCATGCTTGCCAATTCTTTTAAATACACAGGGCAGTAACACAAATACCCAAAAATAAGCAACTTACCTCAGCTCGGTGTTGCTAGAAATCAGTGGCTGTGGGATGAACACAGTTATCACTTGGGATTTTGACAGCATACCATTCCAGCACATTCAGTATTTTAAGAGAATTCAAGTGGAGGTTATGCAAATCTGGAAAAGCCAATTACATCAACAAAGGAAGCAAACTGTTTGTACTTTCATAGCTAATACATTGCCTAATCTTCCTATGCAGCTAATTTTTTTCCAGTGTAAAACTTTAGCAGATAGGTCTTCCTTCTCAAGCAGTTTTGCCTCTTCATTTTCTCTGGCTCACATAAGCTGTTCTTAACAAGTTTGCTCAGTGCAGTATCATCAGCACAGCATTGAGTTGAAGCCATGGGCATGGTACAGGCAAAAACAACTCACAAAAACCCACAAGGTGCCAACTGGACTTGAACTTCTGTACTTTGTGTACATCGTGTTCTCAGGTCTGTGTTCCCATAGCCACGTTTCTCAAAAGCCTGTGTAATCAGTGCTTGAGAAGGGGAGGTTGCTCGTGCACACAATCACATGGAATACTTGCAGCAGCCAGAGAATTTCACCTGGTGAGCTAACCCAGAGCACAGCATGAGGGGAACTGACTTACTCAAGCTGCCTCTTAATTGCAGGTTTACCTCCTCTCCTGTGAAAAAAGTCAGAGAGGTGGGGTTGTTCAGCCTGGAGAAGGCTCCAGGAAGACCTTATTGTGGCCTAAACCCGTCCAATATCAGGTTGAATGGAGCTTTGAGCAACCTGATCAGAAGATGCCCCTGCCCCTGGCAGGTGGGCTTCCTCTAGGCGATCTTTGAAGATCCCTTCCAACCCAAACCATCTGATGATTCTATGATCCCAGAACCCATTCCCAAGAAGTTAAAATATTTTGATACTGGAAAAAACTCAGCTACAGTGAAACAAAACAATCCTTTTACTAAACTACGGTGTTCCAGCCTAGGATGTAAAAACCACAAGTGTTTTGCCTGGGTTTGACCACGTCAAATCTTTTGCTTCAAAGCATACTGTTTGCTTCCTACACTTCCCTGGTTGAAAGCATGCTGCTGAGCCTGGAGAAGGTGAATGAGATTATATTGCCCTTCTGCAGGTAACTGCATCAGTATATCAATGTCAATTGACACCAATTATCTCCCCAGAGTGTGTTGACCAGATCAACCAAGTTCACTCACACCTTACATGACTGGGATTGTCTGTGGCTGCCAGAAACAGAAAAACAGCAAACACAAGCAGTAAACAAGGTATTAGGTTGCTGCCAGAAGAGAGGCTGGGAAGTCACTGATATTGTGCTGATGGCACCCCAGTGCAGATGGCAGTAGACCCCATAAACCATATGGGGACCAGCTGCACCCCCAGGGTTGGCCACCCACACCCATCAGGGTGAGTGAGGGCCTGGACTCATGGTCTTTGGGGATTAGACACAGATGGTGCAAGACACACTGAATGAGGAGAACAAGTAACATCACTGCATCCCTGACCCAGGAGCAGAGAAGTAAAAACAGGCAGTGGTGCTTCCCAGCAGGACATAATGATTGGATTGATGATCTTAAAGGTCTTTTCCAACCTGGTTGATTCTACAATTCTATGGCATGGGCATCTGAAGCCAAAGCATGTGGCTCAAGCAGCTCTACCTGCTTCATGAGCACCTGGGGCGTTCAGGATCCTTTGGTGGTCTCCATGAGACTTTAAGCCTTATTAGGGTTGCAAGGAGACAACAGCAACTTCAGTCTCCCACCACTGCTCAGGATGTGGCCTTCCCAACCAGCCTGGCACCCACTCACCCTGCCTTCCACCCCTCCATCCCCCTCAGGTCACAGCGTGGCCTGGCCATCATCTCAGGCACAGCATGCCCACATCTCACATTCACCCAGTGTGGACAAAAATAACATCTATTTCAAACTGTTCAAACACTTCACATAATCCAGACAAATATTTGAGGGAGGTGAAGGGAAACAAATACTTGTAAAACAAGGTCCCGCTCGCAGGCAGGGCAAGCAGAGCACCTGGGATGCTGCTTTCACCTGCCATTGCTAGTCCTGGCCATGCACGACCATTCTGCAGCTTCACTGCTCTTCCCTGTCAGTGAGCCAAGCTGAATTATTCCAGTAAAATTATGTTGGATGGGGGGGGGGGGGTGGGGTGGTGGTGGTGGAGGAAAAAAAAAACAAAAAACACCATTTAAACAGAAAACAACAACAAATCTAGGCAATTCCAGTGCTGAGGGTTGAACTGTGCTCTCCAATAGTGCTTGCAGACACACACAGGCACCTCTGCAGCAGACAGAGCATCAACACTGGGCTGTAAAAATGGAACTCAGCTACAGCAGAGTTTAAAATAGTAAAATAATTAAAAAAAAAAATCCTACATCAAACTCCAGAAACCCTCAAGTTTTGCTCAAAGGCACAATCTGACTTCTGCAAGTAGTAAGGAAATGGGGCTAGCCACATCGAGCAATCCAGACCTCCTGAGCTCCTACCATCAGCTCCTGTGTAGTCTGCAGCCTCTCAGGTTCTGCTGTGTAACCCCATGATCTCTCTCACAGGCTGGCGGAGTGACATCCACTATAACTCGGGCATTTCTCAAGGAGCAATAGCCAGTGACACTAAAAAGCCAGGAACATCCTGCCAGACAAGTGTAGCCCTAAGGGCAAAAGCACAGCATGCAAGACTGGCTCCTGTGTCCTTTTTTTTTTTCCAGTGAAAACACCCAAGTTGGAGCTTTGGGAAAGACTAGGAATTCCTTCGTATCTCATATGAATCAAATGTTGGTGCAACTGAGCTGCAACTATTTATACCTTAAGAAGTATTAGATGTTATATTTACAAATATTTTTCCTGTTCTGTACCTTCTAGCTGTACATGACCCAAAAGCCTGACCTTGCAACACGCGTATGCTGCAGGTTCAGCTGTCAACAGATGCAGCAAAGCCAGCGGTGAACCTCTCGCAGATGTGTTGGCAAATCGCTTTGGTCACAGACAAGACTGAGGTTATAGCCTGTTTGTCTCTTCCCAGTCCCAAGGAAAGACTAGACACTGGCCTTAGAATTCTGTTACTGCACATAAGCTTGAAAGCAGAAAATAAACCTACTTCTCTGCAGCAAGTTGATCAAGAAGATATACTTTGGGAAAAAAAATTAATTAATATTCTTAGTAATAATTTCATTCATTATTCATTTAGGAATTGTCTCCCTATGTACTACTTAACTGTGATTTGGTTGGGACAAAGAAACTCAATGAGAAAGCATAAGAACAACCAACCCTTTAGTTTTAGAAAATTATGCCCACAGCATCCATAGGAAGATGAAAGAGTCCCCATACAACAACTTGCTGAAATGGAAACATGTGAGCTGCATCTTTGGGGTTTGGGGGGAGTTGTTTTGGGGAAATATGGGGATGGAAAGTAGCAGTTCCTCACTGTGGTTAAGGCGTCTCAGTGTGTGCTCCTGGATCATCACATACTGCTTCATAGCCGAGAGAGTTGGGAAACTCTAGGAGCAGCATTGAGTATTAGCTTCTCCTTTTTACTGCAGTCAGGAGAGAAACCAGGTACCTTGTTAGTGCTCCTTCATGTGCCTTTCTACTCCACAAAGGGAGTTTCTCTTTCCTTCCTCCTGCATTAGCCACTTTCACATCAGAAAATGCAAGTCCTCACTTCCCTCCAGGAAGACGGCAATGTCATGCATAGCTGCTAAACATCAAAGCTGCAGCCTTGAGCACAACGAAGGAGGAATTGGAAGGGAAAGAGAACACAGGTATTCAGCATGTGGCATTCTACTGGCACCATAAAGAGGTCAAAATGCAGACAAATAGAAAATCACTTCCTTCCCCCAAAAAGCTTTGCTATCCACATTAAAAAGAATTACAAGAGAAAAAGGAAAGAAAAACTTCCTCCTACATCTTGCAATTACAGCAGCAAGAGCTGTAATGCTGTCTGTTAATACATGAAAGCCCACTATGAAAGGGGAATTCACACTAATAGTCTCCAAATGAATAGTACGTATCCACCGTGATTTTAATAGTTCAGCTTTTAAGCCTTACACTGTCATCTGACATAAAAAGATTGTAATTGATTTATTAGCTACAGATATAAATTATACCTGGATTTTCTTTTTTTCTTTCTTATTTTCTGTCAAGAATAAAAAAGTGTTGTGTTTTCAATCTCCCAAAGTCAGAATCGCAAAGGGAATGATGACAATCATGTGAAAGCTGTTGAGAGCATACAAACAGATCATTTACATGCAACATGAAATGGCAAGTCAGTAAAAATCAGACTCCTTCAAAACTGTTCAAGTTAATGTCATTTGTACCAATTGTACTAATACACCATTTGTCTTCAGATCCACTCCCCTGGAAACTGGCAAGTCTTCCTCTGTAATTTCACTCACTTTCCATTTTCATACACAGAGCTTCCCAGAAACCTTTAATGGTCAGATTTGTTTGGCTGGTTGGTTTTTGGGTTGTTTCTTTTTTTCCACAGACACCATTTTAGTCTATTTATTCTTTGACTTTTCCTTTCTTGTGAACTGCAAGCACTTGACACTCCTCAGTTTGCTGGAGAGAACAATCCCTCCCCTTTTCTTACATTACGTAAATGATTCAGGCACAACAACCAGATTTTGTCCTTTTTGCCGGCTTGTAGTCTGTAATGTCTACAGTTTGCGGTGGTCCCTCAGCTTTCTGACGTACAATTATTGGGACTACCATGTCAAACACAGTTTCAAAGAGGTAGTCTACCTTGTATCCTGTTTTTGCACTGGTCTCAAAGCACATTTTCTCAGCTGCTGGAACATCCTTCTCATCTAGCATTTTGTATTTCAGTATCTTTTTATAGAGCGCAATCGCATCCTCTGCACAGACTTGTTTTCGCACCTTCGAGCTGCAGCTGGCAACAGACTTCTCAGGTCTATTTTCATCCGGTGGCAAAGCGCAGTCATCGGTGAGGTCAACTTTATTTCCAACAATAGCAAAAATGCAGTCAGCGCTCGCACTGTCCGTCAGCGCCAAGAATCTTTCTTCCAGCTCTGTCAGGCTTTGGAGGCTGTTCACATCATACGTGAGGATCACAGCAGCTGCTCCTCTGCAGTACATAGACCCGAGGCCATGAAACTGCTCCCGTCCTGGCAAAGGTTTAAACACAACAATAAGTCAGTGTGCTGCAAGCTACGTTATTAACTAAGTGAGAGAGTTTAGGGAATTTTAAGCCAATTTTGCCAATTTGGATGGAGCAGTGAAGGTAAAAAAGTGTTATTTGTAGCATTTTCAGTTTTTTTCTTCTGCTTTCCCTTGAGAGAGCAACTGTGCTGCAGAACAGCTTGGCTCACTGCTTGCTCAATTGCAGATCAGGTAATCTGTAAAGACGAGTGAGCAAGCCTGACACAACATTCACAGCTGCAGACAGCAGAAAAGGGGTTGGGGTTTTTTTATTAAACTGCATACTAGTTTATTTATGACACATTAACAACTACCCTACTTGCATACGCAGATGGCTCATTTCACCTATTTAACAATTTATACACAAAAAATAAGTTCTGCTGTTTCAAATTCTGCTAGACCTTATTACTCCTATAAATTCAACGTACACTTCCAAGTATATCCAGTTCAGAAATCTGGATCAAAGTCAGTAATCCACTTCTTCCTAGGTTTTGAAGGCGTTTGTAAGCCCTATACTACATGCCCACAGTTCTCAGGTACATTTACTTTAGAGGAAAATAGTTGTCTTTAATGCTGCTGTATATAGCCTTTATGTATTAATATGCACCTATCCCATCACAAGTACTCACCCCTTTTAAGGATATTAAACATACACAGTATAGAGAACACTAACTACATTTTAGGAGTAATTTATGTTTTAGGTTGCCCCAACCATCACTCAATAATCAACAGTTAATAACAAACATTTCTTCCTCCTTGTCAGTCAGCAAATATCTACCAGCACTTCCAGCTAAGCTTTGATGGTCTCCTTCAGCTTTGTTCCTTGGAAGACAAAACTGACTCTTCTTTAAATTCTGGGAAGTAAACAATGTTCTTCAGTACTTGCAAAAGGACTAAGGGAAATGAGGCAAAAGACAAAGTGTTTCCTTTGCTATCAAGAACTGCAGCTTTCCCCAAATACCTGCTACACGTAGAATTTACTGTAGCATGTTCACTTCACTCCCCAAAACTTGACTGAGAAAAAGACAGAGCAGGCTAGATTTCAACCAGCCATCAGAGTCAACCTTAGGTCACTGAAGAAGGGGAGAAAAAAAAAAACAAACACAACATTACTTTTCTAAACATTTTAAAATCATCATTATTTCTCAGCTCTTCTTTTATAGCCTCTTTGCAGAGAGCCTCCATCTACAGGAAGTCTGGAAGTGATCTAGATACATTAATTTTCTGTACAAAGCTACTAACCACAAGTTAACAGCATTGTGAAATCCTCATAAATAGCTGTGGAGTAGGAAAGATAAAAGAAATTCATGCTGAAAAATACAGGTCAGCATATATTGGAAAAACACATCTGCACATGTACATGAACACTGTGAAAGTAACTTAGAGCCTATCTCCAGTCAGGAATAGACCTTCAAACTTTTGAGTAATTATTGTAAGTCCTTTGACAAACTTTAGGACTCAGTGGCCAGAAAACAGACAAAGTGTTCATCATTATCAGTAAACAAAACTGGAAAACATCAAGCTAGAACAGTGAAGCTGTGACTGCCCCATCCCTGGAAGTGTTGAAGGCCAGGCTGGATGTGGATTTGAGCAACGTGATGGAAGGTGTCCTTGCCCATGGCAGTGGGGGTTGAAACTACATGGTCTTTAGGGTTCCTTCCAGGCCAAACCATTCAGTGATTCTATGAACATGAAATTCAAAGCTCACCATACCTTCAACACTAATGGAATTTTGATAATTGCCAGAGAAACAGATTTGAAAAGGTTCAGACTACACTATAAAGAAGTATAAAAAGAAGCTGGTGAGGATGCTCAGAAGCATGCAAAGCTTTTGCATAAAGAAAAATTGTGGAATCTCTCAGGCTGGTGAATGACTGAAAAAAAGGTATGAACAATGTCTATAAATTCAGACCTAATGCTGAGAAATTAACCCAGGAACAACTATTTACTCTTTCTCGTAACACAGAAAATGAGGATTTCACATTAAAAAAAAATAATTAAAAATCCTTGTGTAGTTTACTTTCCCGCACAGTGAAGGACTGGCAGGAAGTGTTATATGACATTGCAGAAGTCAAAAATTCAATGAACGGAGTACAGAAAAATGCGAGAACAGCTTCTGTGCAACTTTGCATAATCTCCAGCTCGTTGTCGTCCCTGTCCCCCCCGTCCCCCGTCCCCCTTCCCGAGAAATTCTTTAACTAATGAGCTGGTAGGTAGGAAAAAAAGGGGGGGGGGATTGATATGACCTTGCTTAGGTGTAAAGAAGTAAAGGCAAGGGAGAGTGGGTTACAGGGAAGGGGTCAGTGCTTTTACACTTTCTCCTCCAATCTCATGTTCAGAGTTCTGCTTTCAGTTGCACTGCAACCAAGTCTTTAAAAGTCTCCAATTTTTCAGTAGGAGTTTGTGCTGCAACCTACTTTGTTTTCATCCGAACCCTGGTTATACTGCAGTCTGGAAACCACAATGGAACATATATCCTCCTCCATCTTTCCACTTCAGATGCCTAAGCCACAAAATCCAGCGCCCAGAATGATTTGCTACAGCAACCGGGTACTCGAACAATACTATTACTTGTTTTATGGAATTTGTATGCTAATGTAATCTTGTACAGCATAATATAAACCATTACACTTTTAAACTCTAACTACAAACTGGCTACTTCTACAAGTAAGATACTGTTGAAAGGGGGAAGGAAACAGTAAGAAGAATTTACCTTGCATAAGGGATTAATTATGTCAGAGGAATTATGGATAGTCTCTCCTGCTCACCCACACAGCACAATCTACATGCAGAAAATATGCATAATGTATTTTTACAGCACAGTTTCCTTGTACACACCACTTCTGCTGCTTTAAGGAATGGAACAACCCCAGATGTGGAAAAAAAACTCAAAACTACACAAAGTATTTAAACTAAAAGCTTATCTGTCCCTAAGTTGTCAGGCAAAATAATATCAGACATTATGGTGAAAAACTTACTGCAAGAGAACAGCCACCCCTTTCTTAAGGGCCAGTTATTTCTCTCCCTGGACCCATCTGGTACCACTCCAGCCATGTACGTTTTCCACAATTACCTAAATTAAATGGTAAACACTGAACTTAAGAATTAAATGATTTCACCCTTTCAAAAAATAAAGATAACAAGGAAGAGCTCCAGAACTATCAAATAACTTGCTATCAAAGGAAGCGTAAGAATCAAATCAACCACAAAAGGCACAACGTTAGGGAAATTTCTTGAAGTCAAGCAACCCAAAACTAATTTCCAGTTTTCTTTTCATCTTTATATCTTGCCTTGTGTACAGCAGTTCAAATACCCTATCACATTATCTCTACCTGCAGCACCATTAGCTTTTCAGAGGCTCTTCCAGCAAGTCTATGAAGTCCTGTTGGAGACTTCACCCACTCAGGAGCAGCGCAGTCACCAAGCATTTTTGAAGTCCTATGATGGTTGCCACAAGCCAATCAAAGAATTTGAGGCAAATGGACTTCAGAACCAGATGGTTCATGAGAAACCCAAGAGAGAAAGAAGGGAAAAGTAGACCTTGCAAGAGACCCGCCTTATAAATACTCAAGGCTAGATTTAAAGTGTGCAAGGACTTCAACTTAAGGCTGAGGCTTTAGTCCAGCCAGCCTCCTACAGCACCCTGCCTCTCAGCTGGAAGACAGCAGCCCACAGGAATGCTTTCTCTGGATGGGATCACAGCCTGACCAAGCACCCTCTCCCCTTCCTTGCTGTGGGATCCACTGAAAGCAGCAGTGCCAACGACTGCCCCAATCTCCCCCTTGGAGCTCTCTTCCTGCCCACCATCCCCGAGGGTGATACCCAAAGTAGCCTGTGAAGTTTCTATTGATGTTTAGGAGGGCAAAAGATTTCCTCCAGACAGATTTGAATGTTTCTTACATACCACCTCTTCAAAGGCTTTCACCACAACTTCTTAAGTAGCATAACTTCACACACACACACACTCTTTTAAAGAAATCCTCTGCTGGAAGAACAAGTTCTAAATCTCTTGGTGCTGAGCACATACAAGAATGCAAAATGGAATGTTCCTTTAAGTCTTGAGGGAATAAGACACCAGAAATACTAAAGAGCTAAAAAGGTCTTCCAGAAAGTAATGAAAAAAGTTGTTACTCTGATATTGCTGAGAGGGGTTCTAAATTTTGAGTTCCTAAAGTAAGTATGTAGCATGGAAAAGTACACAGAAGTGAGCAAAAGCAGCACACTACTATTGCATTAAAAATGAACAAGAGAGCAAAATTGTCCAGAAAGTTTCCAGTCTATAAATCAGGTATGTTCCAAGGATTTCCACTATACTTTAAGCAAGACTGTAATTTGGACAGTAGAGAGGAATTAACACAAACAGAAGGTATCAGTTCGGTTTTGCCTTCAAATTCTCTTTCTCCTTTATAGGAGAGTCTGAACTTGAGCGCACACGAAGAGAGACAGGAACTGTGCCCTAAGGAGATTGCTAAAATAGGAAAGAAAACGGAAAGTATAACACCCATGACACAGCACAGAAACCAGTATTAGAAAGAAATGAGAGCTGAGGATCCAGCTGCAGTAGATAAAGGTTCAAAGGGTGACCCTGATGCTCTTGAGTTACCTCAGCAGGAACGTCCGCGTGATCACAAGAGCAGACAAACAAGCTCCCTTTTAAAAAGGGAACAACGCTTCCCTCTGTTTGCAGACAAAGCAGTAAAGTTGTGGCCCTTTAAAGGGCACTAGGGGAAACAATTTTGCTAGGAACTGAGACTTCTGTTTGTGCACGTACACCGAGATATATACTGACTATTAAAGAACAAACAATAAAGGTCCATACAGGTTTCAGAAAAGTTTCCTTGCCCAGAAGTGAGTCAGGCTCTCAAGATTTGACAATGATGAAGTTTGAGTTCTTCATTACCTTGTTCAAGATTGGTATTTATTTCTTCTAGGTGGCTTTATCACATTTCCCTTGAAGTCAGGAGCT